TAACAACCACAGATATTCTCCTTCAAGAAACTTTATTCTGCAGTAAATGTGTGCACATCATTTTAATCTGACATTGATGACATTTGTTTTTCAATTTGTTTTAAAAGGAATTTAAATTTGTTTGTGGTCTTTGAGAAGGGTTCTTCAAAAACCACGGCTTGAATTATGGCCATCAACATCGCGTATTTTTTAGGGTAGTTGATGTCAAATATATAATATGCAGCCATCAATTTGAAAATGGCACCTAGAACACCCCCTTTAACACCCGTTTCTATTATGCTTCTATCCCCACACAAGTACATGCCCTCTATTTTGTCACTACTCGTGAATATTTGTAGAAACAAGGGCTGGTTTTCTTTAGTCTGTAGATGTTTCTCTATTTCATTTTCGTTGTATTCCTGAAAATAAACAAATTTTGACAATATGAATTGTGTATAATTCCATTTTTGAATAAATAAATATGCAAATGAAAAAATAACAAGCGGTCGCCATGCAATATATGCCCACCCTTCTCAGGGTAAATGAGAATTACAAAAACAATAATCATATAATATTTTGAGAGGGGTCGTTTCAAGAATAACGATTTCATTTCAGTAGTTTTTTGATTGTTAGCGCTCACAAGTCAATCTCAACGTATTTTTGTTATATCTAGTATCTCCGGAAATATTTGTCGAATTGCGTTCATATTCGAACTCGGCTGAGATCTTGTGGTTATAAACATACACTAACTTTTATGCACATCTGACAAAAAACTGGCCTCAAGCCAATTGTGGGGGGAACCGGCGAAGGTATAATATACGTTTCAATTTTTCAATGTGGGCGTATAAAGGAAGAAGATATGACTTTTATCGAATTGCGCCTAAGTTTCTTGGATATTGTGGATTGATCCCGAACGATAGCAGCTATTAAAATGTTGGGGATGTTATTTTAAAAATGAACCTACCGTAGTTACACGTATTAAAGATTCAGATTTTCCATTTTTAATCTCGTCTTCAATAAAACGGATGGCATGGAAGAAACGCCAAGGGTCATCCTCCTAAAAAAAATAATGTAACTCTTCACAATATGATACAGTTTACTAAATTCTGAATCATCAAAGGAACAAAAACTATTATACTGGGTTGTTTTGACTGCATGGGAACCGCAGTGAGTTAGTACGGTCAAAGTCAAGTCAAAGGGCAGGCAAGGGAAACGCACCTAGTCGTTTGGAGGTGAATAAAAATCGGATGCGCACGTTAAAGACCCCCGGCTGCTGAAAATAGGGTAGGCGAGACATCACCGACTGTTCAGACAAAATTTCCCTCATTGCACTATGCGTAGCAGATGCCTGTCTACTTTAGCCCATAAGAGACAGAAAAAGTACTGCACACCACAAGCTACACATCAGACATACGGTAATTGGTAGTTGACAATTATTGTGTTGTCAACATTTGATTTTATGATGCGTAAAAAATCTAAGTTGTTTTATTGATGTTAAGTTTGTGACACTTATTATATAAGAAATTATATCTTTAAAAATAATCGTCAAAGTACCGATATTTTTAAAAAAAAAACTCACCACAGCACTCCTTTTCATAATTTTTTCAATTGCTGCCAAAAGTTTGTTTAATCTTTCAGATATTCTTTCAATTTTGGGAATTCCCAATTTCAGCGATAGTTTGTATATAATCTGAAATTTATTTTGAAAGGTAAATACTTTAAATCTACAGTAAGATGTGTATTATAAATGATTAATAAATCAACTGTGTACACAGACGCTTCCATCCATGTGACGGTGGAGGGGTATCTGTCCCTGGGTTGAATGTCCCTCTATGATAGGGGGTAAGAGAACTTTTTTGAAAATTAGACTTAATTGGTGCTCTCTCGCGTATATCCCGGACATGGAATCATGGGTATGATTATGAACCCATAGACTTTGTTCATCAGTTGTCTAATGGATATTACACAACTGCGTCCCATTGCTTTTCTAGATTTATGAATTTACT